TTCCCTACATGAAATTACCTAAGGGTCTTTTGTGTTGTTTCATTGTAGATGCTATTAACATTCTAACGGAGATGAAAGAGAAGGATGTTCCTATCTCAGACAGAACAGTTGCATCTTTTTTCCGCATTCTTAATGCCGCTGCCATGCGAGGTGAAGTTGAAACAGTGAATCGATTACATGAGACCATTGTGAACCTGGGGTTGGCAGAAACTGCTGTCCTTTATTCCCCTCTGATTACAGTTCACCTTGAAAAGTAAGCTGTGTTTGGGCTCTAGATGAAATAAGTTATGATATGATATTTATTTGTGTTACATGACCTGTGTATGCTATACACAGCTGCACATTCATGTTTGAAAGTGCTCATGCACGTAAACATGCACACATGCACGCACATATAATACATAAGTGATCTAGGAATAGTAATGAACGAATATGTTTTCTTAAGTTACCTAAGTGTTTTCATCAGTTATACATCACATCATGATCTCTGGGAACAACACATGAAGTGGCTGTGTACTGGAATATGCTTATGAATTAGTTGGTTCTAAAGTCTGTTTGACAAGATAGCTATTCAGAGCATGATAGCTATATTCTCAGCTCTTGTGGTTAAATAGTATGTGTTTTCCCATCAAAACAGTGTTACTTTGTGCCATCCAAAACACCTCAGGTGAGGTGAAGGGTGGTTGTTGAACACTGAAATATTTTGAATTCACATAATTCAAATAATTTGATGTTATTTCCAGTAGACGGCTATGTTGCTGTAAATTAGAATTCGAAGAAAGTATTGTCTGGTTTGTCTATTGTAATTCTACCCCCCCCCTCCCCCCCCATATACTTTTAATACCATTTAATATGGAAAAGGAAGTTCATACATTCATTCTGGCAGGATGTATCTGTAATTCCATGTATCATGTTCCTTTGCATAAATTTTCATTATGAGGTGTAGGATATTGGAGTAAATGTATGTGTGAACTATATAACAATTTCGTACTGAAATTGAACCAAGAGTACCTTTTCACTTCTTTTACCATATGCACAATCCTTTTATCTTTTTCTTATTTATGTAGCTGCTGGATTTTAATCTCTTGCAGCTAGAGAGTGATGGATCAATTTCTTGCGGTTTGGTTCTTGTATATGAAATGTTGTTGGCTTAAATATAATACCTATGAAATAAGTGAATTTTTCATAGTATCATGTAAGTCAGCCTCAAAGATGCATACTAATGTTTCTGTTAACATGTAGAGTTTTTTAGTTCTTGTAAATATTCTGGGTATGCAAGGTCTATATAATGTTTTCTGTATTCAAAATTCTTGTCAAAAAGATGTAACTCTTGGTAGATGCAGGACATTCTCTTCTAAAAAATAGTATTTTAGTGTAGTGGTCAACCGTTAAGAATATAATGTACATCTCTTCAGTCAGCAACACTGCGTTGGTTACATCACAAGACAGGGCAGATGTTTATGAAAGTAATTCAACTGCAATCATATGTAACTAATGTGTCGGAAAAATATCTGATATGCTTTGCAGTGTGCAGTAAGAGCAGCTGCATTTTACGTAATTGCTTTATGTACATTGACATGCAGGTTGTACATGGTGCTACTTGGGTTATTTTCACTTGAGAAGTAGTATATGATGATATAAATAAAGATGTGATCATGTGTGGATGCAAAGGGGGACAGTAAAGAGTGTTACTTTAGTTTGATTCCACATTCTTTTGAATTGTAAATGTTTCATAGAACTTTCTAAAAAGTTGGTTTGTTTTTTTTTAATAAAGGGACTTTTGATGAGACTAGATTTTTAAAGGAGAAAGTAATTCCATACTGTGGACCTCTCTGGCTGCAAGTCATTGGTACTCACCTGTATAACTCAATACATTTTGTATATATAAATACAGTACAAAGTAAGCTAATTTCCTAGGGTTTTTTTACTGCCTTATGGGTGGAAAGACTTGCTTCCTCTCCAATGTTAGAACAGAAAGGGGAAGCTTTTTCCAAATAATTTGCTTGGGAGGAATAACTGCTCTTTTTTTTTTTTTTTTGTCTTGGAGATGCTAAGAGTTTTTGAAAGTTATGAGTGACTGAAATAAGTGTTAGTCACTTCTTTCAGCAGTAGTGCTTACTATTTACCATCCTACAGCTCAAGTATCATGCTGAAATGCTGTCATTTAGCTGCAGGTTGTCAGCATGCCTCTGAAATTAGCTCTGGGATATTTTTTAATGTTGCACAGCAGTGGTTGTGCTAGTGTTTTGTGTTCTTAATTTATTTCAAACTTTTTAATTGCTTGTAAAGGAATCTGTGATTTGTTTTTGAAGATTTCAACAAATGTGGGTGTAAAATGTTTTCATCTACCCCTCTTCTCTGTACCCAGTCCTGAATGTTATGAAATTCTTGTTAAGTCCTAGTGCATGTTAAAAGTGACAATTTGCAGCAGAGCATGGAAAAGAAAAAAACTGTTGATGATGAAGAGTATAACTTGACAAAACTAACAAAATCTAATATTCTAGTAGAATGGACATTTTACCTTTAATATTTTGAGAAATATTTAACTGAAGTAACTAGAGAGAGCACTCATACTATCTTGTGGGGTTGTTGGTTTTTTTTTACCCAGAGTAAATGTAAGGGGAACCACCCCCCTGCTTTTAATTGTATGATCTTTATTTATGACTCTGAACAGTTTCTCAAGACGGTGAAATCACATTAAAAATTGAGACAGTCCACATGTGGAATCTTGGTCTGTTATTCAAGGTGATAAACCTGCCTTGGACAGTATGACAAAAATCTTAGTTTTTAAAAGCTGCAAGAATGTGAAGAGCTTGTACTTTTTCTTAAAACATGTCATATTTTTGAACTGGTTCTTCCAGCTGATAATAATTGGAAAAGGTTGTGTTACCTACACCACGTAAAATTTCTTACGATTTCTTAAGGATTGTAGTTTTGGCTTTTACCTTCTCTACCAACTGTCAGGGGAAACCTGTTTGAACACGAGCCATTTTATAAAACTGAAGATGTTTGTAAAGCTAACATGCTCCTGTGCTATATGATACTTTGATAACACCTATTTAAAGGATCATAAATTAACAGATACAGTAACTACGGATGATTTTTTTTTTCTTCTTCTAAGAAAGCTGCATAAGCCAACTTTCGTACAACCAAAAATAATGCACATTTTAAAAACTTGATGTGGTTCCTGTCTTTTCATTAACATAAGTTTGTTTCTGCTGTCCTTGAATAATATCACCTCTGAGAAAAGAAACAAAACAAAACATCTTCAGGTTTGAAATTTACTAATTCCCTATATCAGAAGTGCTCTTAAGCAGGGGGAAGAAAATTTGCAGGTGAACTATGAAAACATTATGCTACAGACTGTATGAACAAAATACTTTGTAGTTTTAAGTCAGTCAATGTAAGTAGTTAATATCTGTATTTTAAATGATCAAAAGGCTATAGCTGGATTGTGTTTCTTTAAAAATGGTCACTGTATTTTTATACAGCATTGTCCAGTAAAGCATTGTGTGCTGGTTTTTGATTAATCTTATATAAACCCATTTTGTTTCGTTTATTATGTAGCAGATACAGTGTGAATCCAGTGCCTGGACAATTTTTCTTCTGTTGTTTTCACGGAGTTAAATTCACCTGTAATTTTGTTTGAGATGATTCTGTAGCACATGCAAGTTAACTGACTTTTAAATTTACTTTTAAAAATAGGCATCTTTTTAAATTCGGTGATATTTTTAGTTGGGGAAAAGATATCTCTAGTGCGGAGAGGTTTTTCTAATTTTTAGCGGCTTTATTTCAAATATTTGTATTAAAACTCTGTACGTATTGCTATGAAATTAGGGATGTTTGGCTCTCTTACTCCATTATTGCAATTAGGAATTTAGCATCATCAGTGCCAAAGGACAAAAGTGTCTCATTTGCCCTATGGGGACAGGACAGTGATAAGATGATTTTTTGTCAAGGATCATTGGGTCGTAATTAAGTTACATTCATGGCTATTGCTCTTTGAAGGATGATTGGTAAATGACAGGCTTCATGTGCTTGGTACGGACAGTGTTCACTAGGGTTTTTTCTCCCTCTGTCAGAAAATCCTGTTGAGTCTGATAATGTAAATGTGGCATTTTATTCTGAACAAAAGAGCAGGGAAATGAGCTATCTTGTCTAATCATTCAGTTGTTTAACACCGACTTCCAGTTTAGACTCAATTGGCTGGAAAGCACTTGACATGTGAAGTTAGTGCTGTTCGGAACGCATGTTTGAGTAAATTTTAAAGTAAGTGACAGCTAAATTGTACCTAGGGAAATTACAAAGCCTTCAACACAGTTAATTTTTTGGGGAGGATTAGTTGTAATTGCAACACCAGTCTCCTTGAAGATTCCTTAGTATAGCAAATGAACAGAAAAACATTTAGCTCTTTCAAGAGCCCGTTCTCTTTTAACAGAATAATTTTTGTAAAGCTGATTGTACCTTGCTGAATTGACTTCCCTCTACACTAACATCTGTTTCAGATTTGTAGAGAGGGATTTGTTTTACCAGTCTACCCTCCACCCCCACCCCAGAGAGTCCCTTTTTTCTTTCTACCTCTCTGGTGATTTCAGGTTTGAGAGCTTTTCAATCAGTAAACCCCTTAGGTAAATTGCCACTTCACTAAAGCTTTATGCATAATGTTGCAGCACTTCATTCCAATTAAAATCAATATTTGGAGTCTTATTTTTATCAGCCAGACTCTCTGGTTGGGAAAGTTGTTTATTACAAGTAAAAGGGTTAGATTTAGTGCTACATTCTTGAAGCAAGAGGGGAGTGGCTTGTTCAAATTGAAGGGGGCTGTTACATCCATGCACGTTACAGCCAGTCCTGCTACAGAGTGTGTTCTGCAAACACTCAGACATCTGAGTGATTTCGTCTCTTCAGGTAGCTTTATGTGAGTAAAATTGCCCACGCAAATATTTTGGAAGATTGTGCCCATGGTGTCTTGAACTTCATAGACATCCTAAACAGAAACCAAATGAATCCAAAAACTTACGATGTCTTAACCCTAGCATCAATTTAGTTGAAAAATAATGCCACAGTAGGACTCTTCCAGGAATACATAAGGGCCAAGCATCATACAGTGGTAACTGAGGCTCTGTCATTCAAAAATAATAGTATATGTTCTTTTTTAAAAGAACAAGTTTCAATGAGAGGGAAAAATACACCTAATCTCTAAGTGGAACAGGTATTAGCCCTGAACAGATAATATTTGTGAGTGACTTAAAGCTGTAGTATCTGGCCAACTCAAAATGAAGCATGGATCATCTGTGTTCACATTTGTAATACTCTTCTGTCCAGACTGACACTGAAAATCAGACTTTTCCAACATGGCTATGAGTATATGGGCTTTATTTCTTTTTTGACTCGATCCATATTAATTAGATAGTCATTTTGGACCAGGCTTCTAATGTAGTAGTGTAGTAAGGATCCTTTGGGAAGATAAAAGTGTGTTCGATGCATAAGTTCGTATTTAAAGACTGCCAAATACTTTCAAATGTACAGCTGTTAGCTTAAAATCATTATGTCTAAATAGCATTTTCTTAAAATGTGGGAAATCTTTTTTTGTGCAGTTCTTTCTTTAAGTTAGTGAGTTATAACAAGAAACACATTAAAATGTTTCCTGTACTCGAAATTTGAAGCCTACAGTAAGTTCCTAATTTTCATTGGGCTTTTCTAACAGAATTGTAAAAACTGTTTGCAAAAGTAGTTGCTGGTACTTACTTGGAATTAACTGCAGTTTGTGACAATTAAGAAATAGTGCAGGTTGTTGGATAAATCATATTAACTCAAGTACAAGCATAAGCTTGATGGGTTTTTTTTCTTTGCAGTAGTAGTACAAGCTATTTGTGGAGGCTGAACTTCTATACCTTCTATTGTTTTATAGCTGGTTGTTGCCAGTTTTATCACTTCTCTGTTTTATGAACACAATTCTCTAGTAAACTGTGGATGACTGGTTGGTTGCTTGAATGCAACAGAACAAATACATCAGATTTCTATAGATTCAAAACAACAGTCTAGTAAATTAGTGTGTAAGATACTGGCCTCCTTAAATGCAGACTTACTCAGGTGCCTTTGAGCAGTAAGTACCAGTAACAAGTACAATATTTTCATTTTTGTTATCTCAGTTCTTTGCTGTCTTTTTTCTCTGCGTATACAGTATTAATGCCTTCAGAAGTATACATTTAGAGACTACAAAACTCTTAATGTTCCTGTTTGAATGACATTCCAATTATTCATTCATTTATTGATAGCTTTGACCTAAACCCAGTCACTTTAATCCTTTAGGAATATAGCCGAGACAATACTATGGCTGTTTGAGCATCAATCTGAACAGCTAGATTTATCACTGAAAACTTTAATTTGAATGTATAAATGTTGTTGTGCCTCCTTAGAAATTGAGTAGTTTTCTGTAAAACTGGTTTTTTTTAACGTTAACTGAACTTGCATCTAAAGCAGGAGAAAAATACTGATTATATAAAGCTTTATATCTGTCTGTGGTAACTACCATAGTATTTCTCTTTTATGACAGTAATCTAGCCTGCAACATCTACTTGCAGTTTTGAAATTAACCTGTAATTTAGTCTTCACCCCAAATGACAAAAATTCAAATGACTCCATGGGGTGCCAGAAGATGCACTGTAAACAGGGCTCGGTAAGGGGGATAAGGTAGAAATCCATCATCTTAGGTTCATTTTCAGAATGCCAGTATTAATTCTTCTTCCGTGTTTTACTCTTAAAATTTTTAAAATATTAGCCTAGATGAAGGTAGTAGTATATAGTAGTCAGTTCATTCTTTGAAAAAGCAAAATTTGTGCTGCATAAGAAATGCAGCGTGAGGAGAGGATATCTGAATTTGGCTTGTTTTAACAGTAATTTCTTAATTTGTGAAGGTTCAGTTGATCAATAATAAAGTTGATTCACGAATGCAAAATCATTATTTCACGTCAGTTTTATTATGGCCTTCAGCTGTTAAGTGATTTATTTATTTATTTTTCACCTTGCCCACTTCCACCACCCTCTTTTGATAAGCCTTTTGAAATCTAAAATGCACTTATTCACTGTGACTGTTTGGCTACTTAATACATTTTGCGTGCGTCGTCTTGGTTTGTTTCAATTTCAGTTTAAACCTTCCCCTTCAAAGAATAGCTACACATATTGTTTTACCAGTGTTTCAGTGGTTGTCCTCTGTTGGTTTTGGTTTATTTTTTTAGATTTAGATTGTAATCCTTTGAAAAAGGGTCTGCAGCAGATGGTTTAGTTCTGTTAGTTGCACAGTGTAGATAGAATATTAATTTATATTTGTTGTTATTTTAAGTTCCAGATCTGATTGGGTTTATGGCTTTTCAGTTTTGCATTCTAATTGTGTATACTTCTGAAGATGTTAATACTGCATACACAGGGGGGAAAAAAGTCAGCAAAGGATTGAGATAACAACAATGGAAATATTGTATTTGTTACTTGCTGCTCAAAAGCACCTGAATAAGTGCATTTAAGGAAGTCAGCATCTTATGCGCTAGTTTACCAGTACCATCGATATATACTAGTGCCATGGCTCTGTGTGACATGGATAGGCCAGCATGAAATACATTTTGGTATGTTTATATAGTGTTGAATTAATTGCAAAAATTACACTTTTATTGCAGAAAATGCACATTGGATTCTGACCTTTATAGGGAATGGAAAAGTGCTAGCCCTTCAATTGTGACAAAATGGAAATCAACAGATTATTCATAGCTAGTCTGTTAAGGCATAAAACAAGTAAAGCAATCTAAAGAGCTGTGGTTAACTTAGTTAACTCTGGAGATCTATACTGAAATAAAAATGCTGTGGAAAAATTGTAAAGAGCTTAAAAATTGAAAATGTCTAAACAGAGACATTTGGAGGTAATATAATGTGCCCAATATTACTTATTAATGAGAAAAATAGAACTCTTAAATATAAACTGAAATTTCCATGGAATTGGGGTTTTGTCACAACAGTACATAGCAGAACTTAAGAATTTTACTTCAAAAATTAAGTGCATCTAATGATGAAGAGCATTCACACCTTCAGTTAATTTGTAGTGAACAGTGGCCATGCAATCAAAAATTATACAACCAAGAGGTTTAAGCATAAATCTGTAGTTCTGTTTTCATTTCTGTGGCTGTCAAGCATACATGCTATTTGTTTGTAGGAAAACTTTACCTGTTATTTAAAAATAACTGTAGCATATTGGGGAAAAAAAATACACTTTTGGATTATAGACTGCTGAATTAATTTTCCTTGAAATTTTCAAGACTAAAGTGGGTTTAGCATGCACTGCTCCTGCTCGGAATGTTTGATTGTTTTTATTCTTGTTTTGTTTCATTCCACAAGGGATGACATGCCTGCAGCTCTGGAAGCTTTAATCAACTGTTATAAGAAGTATGGCAAAATTCTTCAGCTTCATAACATCTACTGTAGACTGATAGAAAAAGGAGATGCTGATCTTCTGCAACAGGGTTAGTTGCATGTAGTCAAATGCTATCTGGTTATATGGAGTGTTTTCTGGAGGCTTTTCTTCCATGATTTGTATATAATTTCTTTTAATGGAAAGAAAAAAATTGTTTGTGTTTTAAGTGCTTTAAAGTTACACATATAATGATGCCTCTGTTCTTCAGACTGAAAATTGATACTGATTTTAAATGTAGAAGAATCCTAATGTTTGGATAATACAGCATCAAGCTCTCAAAGATTAGTGCTAATACTTGTTCTAGCTACGTATATTACTATTGAGAAACAACTTAATAGTAATACAACGCAATAGTAAAGCAATACGTGTTTTTCAAGTAGTTGTGCAGTTAAGAAATCCTATATCCTCACTCTCTACAAGTAGGGAATGTCAATATATAGTCTGTTTATTTTGGTGAATGTAATTCAAAATATAGTGTAGATAAACAGGAAAACATTTTAAATATGCTCAACCGCAAAGCTACAATAAATTGTGTAGTATGTTGTAATCATTCCGTATGTTTCAAAATTTATTTCCCTATAGCTTATTCTTGGGAGTTTTGTGATGCTTGGAAAATACTTATATTAAGAATATCTGATGTATATATTAAAATGCTTCTATATATTTAGTAAATTAATGGGTTTTATTCTCTCTTTAGTTTCAGATTTTATAAGCAGAGAATATGGTGACATGATGGCTCTTTATGATCTCTTCTTCGCCTTCTTGCAAACAGGAAAATACAAAGAGGCCAGGAAGGTCATTGAGGTGGGGTTTTAACTGTAGTACTCTAATCGTGCAGCTATTTAGACTCTTAATTAGAAACATTTAAAGTTTTTAACCTTTAATTAGACTTGCTCTGATTCATGTTAATAGAATTCAATCCCAATAATAAAAAAAAAAACCTCGACCAGCTTTATTTTGTATAATTACAGTTCAGAAGAGAGACAGTCTTGTATATTGAAATTGTTTCCTCACTTTTTCAAATTCACTGTTATATATCAAAATGATATTTGCATACTAAATATCGGATTGTGGAACAATTAAATTAAACTGGCAACATTCCTGGGTGTAAAGTTGCTAATCCTCTTTCCGAAGGAATTCTTTGTTCTTAAAAGCACTGGAATTTAATTTGCTGCAGACCATGCTCAGATTTATTTGTAATGCTTGTCTACAAGTTAATCAGCCAAACAAGCGCTGTCTGCTACTGTTTGGCATTTAATTTAGCATTTCTTCTCTCTCTCTTTTTCAGAATAGTAAGCAGCTTATAGGAAGTGGTAGGTGACAAACTTGGTCTATTTAGGATTAGTATATTTTATCTAGACTTGATTGAAATTGTGCTTACTGAAATTGATAAGTCAAAGGGGCAGCTGCAGAGTCTGCCCAGATTGTGATTATTTTTCTTCTTAACACAGTTGTGTGTTTTTAAAATGCTGCATAAGTTTTCCGGTTAATGTGTGGGAGGAGGCATCTTGCAGCAAAAGTAATACTTTGTCCTCATCATTGTTGCATTATGTACATACACAACTCTGTAATCTAATTAGGGGTTTTTTTTCCTTCCTAAGACAAAGTATGCTTTTTTTCTGATTCCTCCTAGAATATTTGGGATACCAGTTATCCCTACTTGAATTATCTAATAGAATTTCTGCATTTTTTTTAAAAAAAAAACTTAATTGAAGATCTCATTGTTTGTCTGTGGTGGAACAATACTGTCGTGCTGCGGGGTGTGTGGAAATTGCTAAGCACAATGTTGAAGCATTGGTATTTTGTTCTGAGAGGGTTTTTTGGAGCTCAAAGTCTTATAACACAGAAGAACAGAAATATCAGTATCCGACAGAAGACGATACTGAGGAGTTGCGTTCTTTTTATAGTGGTTAAAACATATAGGAGGTAAAAGGATGAAATCTGAGAATTGGAAGTAAAATTAAAGCTATATGAAGAAAACTGGTACCTGGTGTCATTTAGCAGCTGTTTCTCTGATACTAGCATTTAATTTCTCAGAACATATTGGTGGCTACAGTTCAGCAGTCATGAATAGGATAGTAAGCAAATTGTCAAATTGTTGGGGCTTTGAAACTGTTGTCATTCTCTTAATAGGTGCCAAATTATCTCTGCAAATACTCAGTATTTGTTCATTGATCATGAGCTATTAGTAACCACAAACAGATGCTTAGGCCTAAATTCAAACACATGATACCTGGAGACTAAATGGAAGTTTTCCTGGCTCTTTATGCTATTTAGAGTAGGTTTTCTTGCTCTTCCCTAACTTCCATGAAGTATGAATTAGAGCTGTGTATATGCTGTTGAGAAAAAAGAGGATTTAAATCCCAGAATTTTTAGGAGTATAGGAATTTAGCTTGGAATAATATGCCTGCATTTTACCAGTGGATAAAGTGGCACAAAACCAATTACTATATGGTGCCTTATATTCACATGCACATATGTTTCATGCTTTTATTATGTAACAATAAGTTAAGTGTTTTCAAATAAATTTTTTTTTGGGGGGGGGAGGGGGAGAAATCTTAAAATTGGTATTTTGCCGAAGAAGAAAATAGCTTTTATTGTTTTAAACTATAAACAAGTTGCCTGCTTTTTTGTTTGTTGGGAAGTCGAAGCCTTAATGAATATAATATGGAAGATGGAGTACAAGGTGTATGTGTATCCTTTTGTCTAGTCCGGTGGCTTTTGCAACTAAATTAATTCTCTTGTTGGTCATCTCAGATTGTTTTTCTTTTTTCCTTTCTTGTGAAATAATATTCAGCAGAGGTGATCAGTAGGTGCCGCTTTCTCTTTTTAGATGCTGTCGTGTTTTAGATGTCGATTACCTTTCAGCACATACTTGTATCGGGTATTGCTGAATATGGTGGTCAGTTGGTTTTAGTGGTATCATTTGTTTTAAAAGTATCTATGGAGTTAATAAAGAGTATCTAAAAGGGTGGTAATGAAGCTGGAAAAAGATTTCCTTAGGAGCTAAGGAAATGAAGACTGTGGAGGATATGGTCATTTGAATGGGGTGTTACTCATTGGTGACCACTGTCTCTGCTTGCTCTTGCTGTTTTTAAAAATCAGATGTCCACTACATGCTTATGTGAAACCTAGTGACAACTGCTGCTTTGAAAATTGCAACTCAAAGCCCCAGGAGTAAGATCTTAACTCTTAAATCTCAATCTTTGGTAAAATTCAATGGGGTGACAATAGTGGGAAAGGAAGAAGGGTAACATTTGAGTGAGATTATAAAAATTAGGTCAGAGTTGAGTATGTACATTGTCCAGTCACAAATGTGTTGTGCATGCATATGTATAAACTCATGTTGTGGGATATTGTCATAGCAAGAGAGCCGAAAGCTCTGCGGCTCAACTGTTTGCCGGAAGAACAGCAAGACTAAACAGAGAATGATAGTATAGAAGACAACGAAAGGTGAATAGAAAGGAGATGAGGCAAAGAATGCACCTGACCGATACCAGAACAAGTAAACTGAAGCATGTGGTAGTTTGGTGGTGTGAGTCTCTTTTGAAGCAATGCTAAGTGGAAGAGAAGCTATCATTGAGAAGACCATGCAGGGAAAATGCAGCTAAGTTCTAAGGCTTCACAGAGTTTGGTTGATAAGGTAACAGTTTCCAATGTTGCTAGACTGCCTTGTTAAGCTTTTGAAAGTCTGTTCTCATTTGTTCTATGGCAGGTAGCTAGAGAAGAAAACATCTCTCAGAGACAGTACCTCCAAATGAGGTAGCCTTGGGCTGCTCTGTAAAGTAAAAGGCTATTTTATTCTAGCTGTGTGTGGAGGTTCCTAAGCCCTTGGCTATGCTGGTAGATCGATGTACTGATAGATGCTTTTTTGGTTTCCTTTGGGAACAAGTTCTACCATTGGGTGCTGTGGTATCATGATTTAGTCTTCAGTTCTTAATTGCACCTCAGTTGGTGAGTTAGCTTTTGTCTTGAGTCCTTCAACAGTGATCATGTCCAAACAAAGTTGGCACATCTCTTCTTGCCCCTTACCATAAGGTCACATGCTAGCTTGCTTTCCCTTCGAGTGGCACAGCATAACTTCTGTTTTATCAAATCTAGTTCTAGGTGCTTAGGATTTTTTTCCCTTACTCAGAAAGGAATTTTGTTTGCCTTTTTTACTTTAGTTTTGTTATTCATAAAAAAGAAAGAAAATAAAGTCAATACATTTTGACTTTAACTAAATTAAACTACATTAAAACTAATGTAGGCTAAAAGAAAGGGATATGAATTTTCAATAAATAGGATTAGGGAAAAAGTACCTTCTAGAAAGGTACTGTCTTCTAAGATGTTGTCTTATTTTGATAATATCTATCAAATTTTCTCGTGGAGAGAGATCTTGTGTAATTCTTCCCATGTGTTGGTCCAGGTAGTAGATCAGAGAGTCTGGAAGAGTTGCTTGGCCTAGTGTTCTTTTAAGTCTGTTATATAAATGGTAAGAGAATTTTCTAGAGCCTAGTCCACCAAATCCCTCCAATCCACAGCTTCTTACCTGTTGCCAGAACTGGACAATTGGAATTCCCTTATGTTTATTCAGTTGTTGACTGCTACTTTATTAACCTGATTGTGCTGATGGTTGAGAGCTGGACTGATGTGAAGGTCATCCAGGAGAGTGGGAATGAAAAAGGGAATGTTACACTACCTTGGAGGAATCTACTTCTCCCCCCTTCACCTGTTCTTCTGTTATTTTGTTTGCATGCTGCATGGAGGTTTAAAGATTTCACTGCCTAAAGTAGTTAGAATATAGTTGTTGTCTGTCATTTTGCTCCAGTTTTAATTATTTGGTCATATCTGAATTTTGCACTGGGATCTCATACTTACAGCTGTTTTACCTTCATGATGGTTGGATATTTCTAGACTCACCCTTTCTCCTTCATTTATTATTCATGCTGAATGCAATTATCAAAACACTCTCTGAATCTGCATGTAATTAAGGCCATGTCCACGCTTTCTGATAGTCACAAGACTTAAGTATCGTTAAGTACTGTAACAGTCCTGCAGCAGAGGTTCAAGCAAGCCCTTCTTTAAATCTCCTTAGCAGAAATCTAAACCATGTAGTAGAAATGAACACTTTACTTCTAAATCATGAAGTAGAAATGAGAACTTTACACCTATGGCTAAAGTATGCAAGGTTTTGAACTGGTGTTAAATAAATTTCTGCACTGTATTAATGAAATTATTACACCTTAAACTATATTTCATTGGACATCAAAATACTTCTGTAAAAAAACCCAAAACCCACAACAACAAAAAAACCCCAAAACAAGCACCACGTTAAAAAAGGGTATCAGGTCATTGGCATTTTTAGTTAGGAGCTTATGGACTCCTCTGATAGGAACTAGGAGGTGGTAGATATGTTCGATCATTTTTTGTTGTTTGACAGATACTTCTTGAAATCCTTCTAAATCAAATCACAACAGCTATTAGATTAAAATTGTTCCTTCAGTGAAGGAGTAAAAGCTCTAGTTTCTATTCTGTTTGTAGTTTTACTGGAAATGAAGGCTAAGCGAGGACTGCAGTATTTGGGATACAGGGAAAGATCTCAGAGCTGTATGGCAAAATTTTTTAGTAGAAGACCAACCTGTACAAGTTTGCTACCACTAGAGGAACCTCCCTTGACAATGGCAATGCATAGTGCATAGCTTCAGAACTCTTCTAACCAGACTTTAATTAAGTGTGATACTTTCCTCATCTTCTGCTCTCAAACTAAATATATAATTTAATAGTTGAGATATGAGAGATATGGTATGATATATTTAAGACAT